TACAACACTAAGACACTCAAGAACAAGACTCTCTTTAAGAGTAGATGTTGAGTAAACTATATACGCTCAAGAACAACTCAAACTTCACAAATTGGCTCTAGAAAGCTATGGAAAATAATGTTGTTTGGATGCAATGATAATATGAATAAAGTGAAGTGAATTGATATGTAAAGCAGACCCAAACACCCCTTTTTATAGTTCCAAAAAAGGCTCCAATGGACCAATGCATTAAAGGGGTGATTGGCTTGATTTAGGGGATTGAATAAATTTGGGATCTGCAGGATATTGGCTTCCCAGCGATGTATGGACACTACCCATCGCTGGTAGGCCAATTTTCCTTCAGTTTTGAAGCCAACGGTCACCTACCCATCGATGGGTACAAGCTTCCCATCGCTGGGTGGGAGGTTGACTTCCAAACAAGGAAAGAATCAACCTTAAATGACTTCCAACGGTCATGCCTTCCCATCGATGGTTTAGCCTTCCCATCGCTGGGTTCCCATTGATGGGTAAAGCTTCCCATCGTTGGGTAAGTGCATTCTGCCTTGTGATAATATTGGACCAAGGCTTGAACAGCGATGGGTAGAGCTTCTCATCGCTGTTTGGCATGGTTCTGGAAGTATGTTTGGCTAAGGGGCTACTTACCCATCGATGGGATGTTCTTCCCATCGCTGGGTGGGTGGTTAGCCAAAAACCTGTGGTTTTTGCCTTAACCACGGCCTAGCCAACCGATGCAAAAACCGACCGAAAAAAACCAAAGTTCTCCAAAATAAAAACCAAGTGTTTAAAACACTTATTTGATGTATTTGGCTAATAAATCAAGTGAGACATTTTAAAAATCACATCATTTGAGTAAAAACCACGGCTAGCCAAGTTTACGCCGTTTTGCGTGGTTTTTGTCAAACGACTAAAAGCGAGAGATGGTTTTCAAAGTGTTTTTCTTGGAGAACCGTTTAAACATGCTAAAGAGTGAAAGCAGATCATAAAATGCTGAAAACCACTTGGTTGGTTCGGATGCCAAAAACCAAACCCGACAACCGAAAGCCGAACGCTGGTTTCTGAAAGCCGAACACTGGATGGCTTGGTTTTTGGTTTGGGCGAACACCAAGTGTTTTTAATGACTTAAACAAGTTTAAAACCATTTTTATGATGTAAGAAATGCAATGAGAGTTTTTAGCCTAAAGAGCCAA